TTTGATAGTAGAGGGGTGAGGATGGGCTGGGATGGGAGGGTTAATCAGAGGGTTGCACAATTTGATTGGTGGGGGGGTGTGAAGGAAATGGGAAATTTCAGTGTGAAAAACAATGTATTCAAACTCTGTAAATAAACTAGTATAAACCCCCAAATAAACAAAACAAAAGACAACAAAAAGAACTATGTGTTTATGAATTATCTGTAGAGCTTCCTAGGAATTGTAGTCAACTCAGTTACACCTAACAACATCAATACACTGTATCTCTTCCTTAAGATTCTCAATCAACAAGCTGGATGAGGCTTATGGATTTGTAATGCTAATAGACTAACAGGTGATGCAAATGATACTATTCTGAGCATCACACTTTAAGAATCACCGTTAAAACATCTTTTAAAAAAATTTGCTTTTTGTTGTTCTGGATCAAGTGTTCTGGGATTCCCATTCTTCTCAGAGTTAGCCACAGTTTGTGGTAGTCCACACAATCAAAAGCTTTTGCATAATCAATGAAACACAGATAGATGTTCCTTTGGTGTTCCCTGCTTTCAGCAAAGATCCATACTGAAGGCTCCATTCCTTGATCTTCTGCAACAAGTGCTACAAGTCCTCTTGACTTTCAGCAAGCACGGCTGTATCATCTGTATAGCACAGGTTATTGATGTTTCCCACCAATCCTGTGGGGCACTCCTCTTCATAGAGTCCAGCCTCTCAGATTATTTTCTCAGCATATAGATTGAACAGGCATGAAGAGAGAATAGATGTAGTCTTTGTAGAAGTGTTTACTGTGTAATCTAGATTCTAAAACTCATTGAAAAAAGACACAAGGAAGATCAATGTGTAACGAATTATCTTAACTTTTATTTGTATATTTAAATTTACAGTTCTGGCACTGACACTTTTTTTTAATAAGATTTTTATTTTATGTAAAGATTGAACTTCAATAAAATAACTTAAAAACATTGACATGTACATCACTAAATTTCCATAAAATATACAATACTTTTGATACAATATAGGCTAGAATGACTTCAAGGTAATGGTATATAGTTATAATTTTAAAGAGATATCCATATGTCCAGTGTGGGAATAAATATTTATATTGAATTTGCCAAGACATATGAAGTATTGAATACTACAACATGCACTCAGAAATTAAAACGTATATTTTGAAATACATCTATTTTAGAAGCATAAAACTTTTAAATTTAATCTAGATGTACATTAGAGTTTCTCAATAGAAATTTAAACATTTATTGTAAATAAAAGATGCTACAACATTAAGTAAGATATTGTCCAAAAACTGTTAGGAAACAGTTTGGACAAGTATAATATAAATTTCTATTTTGGCTATATTTAAGTCTCATCTTTTTGACCTTCAAATGAAATGGAATGATGAATATTTGAATTAAATTTTCAAATGTTTCAATATATTGATTTAAAAACTTTATTATGTGTTGCTGCATGATCCACTATTTTTTCTCATTTATACAGATATGACAAAATAAAACATAACTTACTAAAAGAAAAATCTTTCATATAAATGCTAAATGAAAATATTTAAATTTTTCATAAACCAAATCACTCAACCGCAGCAGAATATATTTTGACAAAATAAATATTCATGTGCATTATATTGTTTTATGCTCACAAGAAAATTTGGATAAAATACTTCCATGTGCTTTTGAACACTTTTACAAAATACCTCAGTGATGATTACTGACACCCAACAGTCTTCTATAAGAGACAATATACAGGACAGAGTTGGTGGCTGTTAGCTGGTTGGCATTTTTTTTTCTCTAATTATATTTTGGCATTTTAAAGTAATTGCTGTTTTCTAGAAGATGGCAGCAATATTTCGAAGCTAGAAGAAAAACTGAATGTACTGTCAACTGATACACTTGTACCACTTCATCATAGTAATATTACTGTACAAGAGGAGAGGATGATTGATAGAAAATGACAAGGGGATAGACATTAAAATTAATCCAGAGGACAATTATTTTTATAAGCAGTAGTTACATATAAAGTATACATTGTATATATTCAATGCATTCTGCCATAAAACAGTATTATTAATTTCTGCTTAGAGCCTGGTATATCATCTCTTCTCTTTTATTCCAAGTTAGGGAAAAGTTCTGATTTTGGTATCTGATAGTCTATAATTATTTATAATAATTATATAAAACTATATAAACATCAATTTATTTATAAGCACAAAGGTAAATTTCCAATGTTCATTCTTCCTGATTGCACTGGACAATTGATTTTGAAGTTACACTAAACACTTTTAGTCTGCTCTAACATGGTTTGCTTTCTTTAAAATATTTTCTCATTTCTAGAATATAAAATGAAATTTAGACTATTATACTAATGTCTTGTTTAGAGATGAAATGATAAAAACCTTTCTGTGGAATTACTCTCATAGCAAGTATTTATCTAACAGCAGCCAATCGCTGGGGACAAAATCTTAAACAGAAATATTACCTTTAGGGATAAAGTCACCTAATAAGTGAAAGATAATTTAGATTTAGGTCTAAATATACATTAAAAATAACCATACTTTGAAAAAAATGATTGACCACATTAGGTGCCATAGTCATTATTATGGATGTTTACACTGAAGACTAATATTAACGCCAAATTTTTAAAATATATTTGACATCACATTCAACTCTATATGCTCAAAAGCAGCAAAAATGTTATATTCACTTAAGTCTAGCACAGATGTCATTAGCTATCTAGCTAAACCTCTACAGGGATATGATCATCTTTATTATATTTATTTCTATAGCATTGAAATAGAATATTGAATGTGCACCATATTTAGAAGGAAACATGTAATTTCCATTAAAAGTATGGTGCTTGATCTCTGTTTAGTATAGTGTATCAAATCATACTGTTCTGCAAAATACATATATGATTCTATTTCAAATGGAATGTTAAGTTGCTAATGATAGCCACAAATGCTTAGAACTTAAATGTGCACAAGATTAATAAAAACCTGCAAAGTTCATATGTTTCATTTTTATTACTATAAATGTTTACGGAATCAGAAATAATACTCTAATTGTATAATGTTCTCTTTCAAATAGTTTATACTTTTAAAAAATTATAAATAATTATTATACTGTGCCTCTCTGTCATATTCTTCAAATATATGGAATATTACCTTTATAAATATAACAGACAGTCTGTTAAAGAAAGGGGTAAATGGTGGGGAATATTTAACTAATTTTCCCTGTTATTTGCATTAAAGGATATAAAGTTGAACATATCTTTATATATATATCCGGGAGAAGAGTCCATGTTTGCTTTAGGAAATAATAAGAGTATAGTTACTTCTTTAATAAAGTAAATTATGTTTTCAGCCCAGCTGATTGTTATAATCGTATAGTTAAGGCTATGTGTACAATAAAAAGAACTGAGGGAATTATATAGAAAAGTAAACTTTTGAAGAGAGCACTTTATTGGTCTAAATACTTTTGTCTCCTGACAATATTCTGTTTTTACCATACAGTACTCCATATTTCATTTTACTATTTCTGTGTAAAATATTACACAGATTAGCTTATCATATGATAAAAATAGCAATAGAATAATATTTTCTCTATTAGACTACATCTATTTTATGAGGGGAAAAAAATCAATATTAATATGCCCTTAGAAATCAACTGTTAAAGCACCTAATTCAGGGGAGAAAACCTCTCTTAAATATTTGCTTAATGACAAGACAAAAGAGAGAAAAAAGTGTATGTGTGTGTGTGTGTGTGTGTGAGAGAGAGAGAGAGAGACAGAGAGAGAGAGAGAGAGAGAGAGAAAGATTTTTTTAGTCCAATGGAGTGGTTGTTTAAGCATGTATCATACTTGCAGTGCCTTAGATAATGAATCTTGTAGATTAAATTCTCAGCTTAAAGAATTATGATAGGAATACACATGACTCTAGAGCAACCTGAAGACTGGCCAAAACAGACTGAATTCACAGTTATTCCCTTTTTCAATTCAAAAGATACTTCATTATATTCTTAGAGCCATATTGAAAGATAATCAAGTTTACACGTTCATAACTGGTTCGTAAAGGTTCATTCATATTTGCTCTGAAGCTAGCTGGTAAAGTAATTTGTGCATATTATTTAGTTCTTTTCATAGAGGAACGAAACCCTTAAGGGCTAAAGAGAATTGATAAAAAAAAAAATCATCAAATACAGGAAAAAACATTTTGTAGAAATGTCATTAAGGAAACATTTCTTAAAATTATGTGTTATGTAGGAAAACCATTACTCAGTCTCAGTAGAAAAGTCCACTTTTAGATAAGAAAAAAAATCAAGCCAAATATGAGGAAAAAAAGACATTATTTAAACAAAAACAAATATGTACCTTTTTAAAAAAATTATCAGGGAAAGTTAGGGTGTGCAAAATAAAAGTTACTTTATGCTCTTAGATGAGAAAAAGGTATAATTAATTAATAACATGATAATTCCCTTATAAAGAATTTAATACAAAGTTAAGAAAAATAAGTCCCACTATTTTAATTACATGAAAATAGACAGAAGCAGGATTATTTCTGCTACTAAATTTTCTTTTTTTGTTTCAGAAATTATTTTATTAAAAGAAAGGGGAAAATAGTCTGCTAGCAGTTATTTATAGAACACAAATGAAGGCACACTAGTAGGACTTAGGAGTCGATGAGCAAAAAGGCATGGTGATTAGCAGATGATTTTGGCATGAACAAAAACTGGCCCTGAAAAACAGCTGAACACCTGGAGCTGGTTCGTGTTACAGCTGTATACCTATGCCTTAATCAGGGATCCATACAAATTTGCTTCTCCCTTTTTTGGCAATACGACATTGATAATTTATTAAAACTTGCCACTGATGCAAAAACCATGTATAGAAATAACCCTTAAGAGACCTGATTATGACAAATTCAAAATGATCATGTTTCGGATCAGACTCTGATCTTTTCGAGATCTGAAGAGAGACAAAAATGTGTAATTCAAAGGTGGTATTTTTTAATGACAAAAACTTAAATGGATTTACTTTCTATAGCTGTTCATAGATAAGGAACCACAGGCTATATATTTTGCACCATATCCAAGAATACTTCGTTATCAGTATGTCACACTTAAAAGAATTCTTCTAGTTTAGTGCTGACTCTGTTGCCACTAATAATTGTAATATTATCTTAGGTAAAAAGGATACCACTGAAGTCACTGAGTACAATATTGATTTTAGACTATCTCAGGAAGGAACACAGTGGTTCAAGAATTATTAGATTAAAATCTCTAGAAATATATTTTTTTACATATCTGCTTGTAGGAAAAATTTTATCACGATTGTATCCTCCGCCTAATCAAATATTCTAGAATATGAATCATTCAAAACTACACTGTGGAATGAGCCAGATTATAAGCAGGGCAGTGAGGTTACCAATTGCTGCACTTCTCCCCCAAGTTTGTTTAAATACTAAATATATCAGGAGCTGAACGTTATTCCACATCAGAAGCATCATTGTCAGAAAGATGATAGTTACTTCCTTTTACCCGAATATATTCAATATATCTCCCTTCATCAGAATCTGAGGTGCCACACGTACATAGTCTGTTGTCAAAGAGGGATTCAATTTCTTCTAATTTTTTCCCTTTGGTCTCAGGAAGACAGCCATAGATGAAAAGTAGTCCAACAGCAGCAAATCCGGCATATAGGAAGAAGGCTCCTGAAATTGAAAAGCATCTTTATATGTTTATGTATGTCTAGAACGAAGAAAGCATTTGGCTTTGACTTTTTAATTTGATGAATTATGAATAACCACAGTAATGAATGGAACAAAGAAACTGTTTCCAGTATATTTTAATTGTTCTAACTCTATAAATATAATTTGTTTCAAATTCAATCCATGTAATGCCAAACTCAAAATGAGATGTAGCTCACATTTAATCTTTAGCCATTTGCCTCTGTTTTCTCCCCTAGCTACGGGTATTTATTCCTCCTTATATGCATTCACTGTACTGAGGTCACTAGTCTGGTAACCTAGTGATAAAGAGGTGCAGTGCCAACCCATAGGCATGAAGTTCAAATCTACTAGCCTCTCCGTAGCAGAAAAATGGGAAATTTCCTCCTGTGTGATTTTCTGCCTCTTAAAATCTGCTATGGGGTCCACTATCAGTCATTTCTGACTTAAGAGAATATAAAAACAACAACAACATAATGACCAAAAATTAATAATAATCAAGTATCATAGGACATATATTGTATAAGATCATTACTGTAGAAATAGATAACTAGTAATATCTGCCTGAGGATCCAAGGGTGGGGGGAAGGAGTGGAGGGAGGAAGATGGATGAGGGGGTAACCATAGGGTCGCACAATGTGATGGGTAGAAGGACAGGTGGGTAAAGGAAATGGGATTGATCTAGTGTGAAAAACAATGTATATGAACATTATGAGTAAACCAGTATAAAATAATTTTTTATCAAAGAAGAATAATCAAGGAGTAACTACTTTCTTATTAATTTTGTATTTCTAAAATCAATTACAATGGATGACATAGTCTTTCTTGAATTTTTCTTTTTTTTTAAATTAAGGAATGCTTCACAAATTTGTGTGTCATCCTTGTGCAGGAGGCCATGCTAATCTTCTCTGTATTGTTCCAGTTTTAGTATATGTGCTGCCGACACGAGCACTGAATTTCTTTTACTATTATACCTAACATCCAACCTGTCAGAAAATTCCAAAAGATTAACCATCAAAATATAACCCATAACTTATAATACATAACTTATAATTGCCACAGATCTATCTGGATTTTTGGTCTTAAAATAACCTTTCTTCCACCTTCATTTGGTCTTTGTATCTTTTATTCTCCATAGCACTTCAGATCATCTGACACACTAAGAGGCTAATTTGTTTCTCTTTTCCCTTAAACTTTTTGAGATTTTTTTTTTATGAGGTTTTGCCTTAAGATTATCGCTGTTAATAAATTACAGTCACAAGGCATAAATGACATTGAGGCTTCTAGGTTTCAGCAGAACAATCCTAAGTGAATGAGATAATGAATATATGACTTTTGTGTAATCTATTGTAATAGTACATTACAAATATTAATAAAATGTAAAGCAATTGTAAAATTAAAATTGTGTCTTTTTTGTATAATATTACAAGGTAGCTTTCCTTTGTAATCTCATTCCCAATTTAAATGGGTTTTAAATTTGAAGGTAGAGAACAATTTTAAAAGAGAAACTGATGAGACAATTACAGAAAGACTTTTGGATGAGAGTTTGAAGATCTGGGTTTAGGTCTTGGCTATGAGCCTTCTACATGGGCATGTAGCTTCTTGAGATGATTTTTAAGCTCTTTTGAAAGTGCAGTTTGACCCATGAAATCTCACATCTAGAACGGGAAGCATGTCCACAAGAGATGTCTATGGATGACGGGGAAAACCGCCCTTCTGTGTCAGTGCCCAGTAGTACAACGCAGGTCAGACTAGGAGGTCTAGAGAGTGTGTTCTTGCTGACCACTGGATGACATGCACCGGGTAGCAGAGCGAAAGGGCTGACCCAGACACAGACAACTGCTGTGGAGTGCTGTCATGTGACTCGATGTATAACAGAAGGCCCGATCCAAACTAGGAATATGAAGGCATATTTTAAGGGCAGTTTAAAGCAGAATAAGCCTAACAGCTAGAGAACTGAGTAGCATTTCTCAATTCTACTGAATCTTCACAGTAAGGGAAAGGTATTATTGAATCAACATTCTTACAGACATGTCTACAAGTAATAATATCAGGGACAATCACAGAAATACTTCTCATGAAGGCTCAAGGAAAACGATGAAGGGAAATGCATAAAGAAAAGAATCTGTATGGAATGAGAAGCCAGGAATGAGCAAGCAGAACAGAAAAAGAAGTAAATTATAGGATTCAAGAACCCAACAGTCTTTAAAAACCCCCAAAGCATAGTAGATTAGATTAGGTTGTCAAAAGACATATACCTCATAAGGAGCAGTACAAATGAAATTCTCTTTACTTAAGATAGTAGTCTGATGGCATAGTAAGGAACACTGGTGGCAGAATATATACCGTGTGGGGCTGCTAATTCAAAGGCTGGTGGGGTTGCTGTGAATTGGACTTCACTAAGTGTGACTCAACTATTAACAAAAATGTCATGGCTGGGACCTAGCAGCACACTATGGGACAAAGATGTTTGACTCTGTAAAGATTTATAGCCTTGGAAATCCACAGGACAGTTGTTCTGTCATACAAGGTTGTCATGAATCAGAATCAACCTGATGGCAATAGATTTGGTTTGCATAATAAAACTGTAACTTCATTTACAAATATTTTTACATCAGAACTGACTCATTGCTGACCTGTCATTGGGCTTCTGAGACTGTAAATGGAACAGAAGGAGACTGCACACCTTTCTCCAGTGGAGGTGCTAGTGGATTTGAACCATCAGCGAGCCATAGAGTCTTTGGCTTAGCCATGAAACTTCCTACGGACAAGGTCACCAGAGCTTCCTTTACAAACATATGGTTTCTTTATTTCTGTTTTGTTCACTGAAATTATGCAAAATTATGTTTTTCTTTATATGGAATCCAATGAAATACAGAGAATTTCTGCCATTACAGCATTTCTAACCTCACAGAAGAGACAGAATATATACTTGAAACTTTATCAGAAACTAGTAGTAAGTCTTCTAGGATCATGGCTGGGTGGGCCAATAAGAGGAAGGCTTGGAAGAAGACTCCATGGCTCAGCGGAGAGCCTGGACCTGAATGTCAGCAGCCCAGGCGGAATCTTTGGATAATCTTTGACATCACTTTCCAATCTGTATGTTGTTGTTATGTGCTGTTGAGTCATTTGCGACTCATAGCGACCCTATGTACAACAGCCCTAAACCGTGCTCTATCCTGTGCCAGTCTCATTGCCTCTGACACACCCATCCCGAGTACCCCAGTCACTGAATCAATAATGAAGGAAATAATTTCTCCTTTGTTAAACTGAAATAATTTAAAAGGAAGATGCTGCTTAATTAGTAAGGAAAAGAAGTGTCAGTTGAGAATAATGAATGAAGAATTATGTGTAAGAAGTAAAATTGACAAAAGCAAGTAAAAAGATTACACAGGAATCTTAGAAGCTGTAATTAAGGTTAATAGATGAGAAACAACTTAGAAAAAGGAGGGTGAGAATTGTGGCACAGTCAGTGTCGCTGAACTGTAGAAAATGGAGGGATTGTTGAATTGCATAGACTAGTAGATATGGCACCAGAGGCAGAACCCTCTCACTGGGAATGACAAAGGAGGAAGAAGTGCACAGACACTACTGACTGGAAGATGGAACGTGAGATGAATGAAGAAAAATGGAAATTGTTAAGAAAGAAATGGAAAGCATAAATACTGACACACTAGTAGGCATCAGCAAAATGAAATGGGTTGGCATGGTATTTTGAATCAGGTAATCATATGATCTATTATGCTGGAGATGAAAAGGTGAGGAAAAATGGAATAGCTTTCATACTTTAAAAAAGGCTATTTCTAGATGCATCTTGAAATACAGTGTTGTAAGTGACAGGATAATATCCATATTCATACAAGGAAGACCTCTTAATACTACTATCATTCAAAAATACACACCAACAGCCAGGGCCAAAGAGGAGGGAAAAGAGGACTTCTACTTTGTCAGTCAAAAAATTGAGCAAATATGCAACCAAGATACTTTGATAATAATGGGTTAATGGAATGCAAAAGTTGGGAGCAGGGTAGAAGTATCAGTAGCTAGAAAGCATGGACTTGGTGACAGAAATGAGGCTGGAGACAGAATGATAGAATTCCATACAATGACCTATTCATTGCAAACACCTTTTATAAGAAACATAAATGGTGACTGTACACATGGACTTCACCTGATGGTCTACACAAGAATCAGATTGACTACATCTGTGGAAGAAATTGTTGGAGCAGCTGTGAAAACTAGGCCAACAGCTATCCTGGAACAGACAATCAACTCTTCATATTGCAAGTTCAGTCTGAAGAACTGAAACCAAAGAAAATCAAATAAAATCCACAAGAACCAAAGCTTAACCTCAAGTTTATCCCTCTAGAATTTAGAAGATTTAAGGAACAGGCATAAGCTTGAACATTAATGAGCGAAGACCAGATGAGTTGTGGGAGGCTATCAAGAATATCATTCATGAAAAATGCAAAAAAGTCATTACAAAGAAGAGAAAGAAAAGACCAAGATGGATGTCAGAAGAGATTCTGAATATTGCACTAGAATGCCATGACACAAAGCAAAACAAACCAAAAAAATCAAGAAGTTAAGAAGCTGCAAAGAAGATTTCAAAAGGAAGCACAGCAAGGCAAAGCAAAGTATTATAATGAAATGTGCAAGGATCTGGAATAAAAACAATCAAAGGGGATGAACACGCTTGGCATTTCTTAAGCTGAAGGAACTGGAAAACAAATTCAAGCCTTTAGTTGCAATGCTAAAGGATGCTGAAAGCATAATGTTGAATGACCTAGGAAGAATCAAAAGAAGATTGAAGGAGTACACGGAGGCACTATAGGAAAAAATAATTGGCTGACACAGAAGAATTTCAAGAAACAACACATGATCAAGAGCCTATGGTGATGAAGGAGGAAGTTCAAGCTTCTCTGAAAGAACTGGCAAAAACCAAGGCCTCAGGAATTGATAGAATACCAATTGACATATTTCAG